CCCAAATCTGCAATGCCCCAAGGGCTCCTGTGTTCTGGGTTGGGGCTGTGCCATGGATGTGCCTGACTCTCCTCGTCTCTGCCCCTGCTGCCTCCTGCTTTGGAGGGGGGATATGATCCCCACAGCCCCTCTGGATATTCCTTCCTAACCCCAGAGCATGATGGTATCTCTTGCCCATGGATATCTCATTTCTTTCCCTGGCACTGCTTTTACAGGCCAGGTGAAACCAGCTGCCCTGATGGGGAATCCCATGGTATTTGGCCTCGTGGCCATGCACCTCACTGGCTATGACTTACCAAAGACAAGCAGGCAATACTGTCGGATCAGCCGGCGCTCTGACCCCTTCTGCGTGGCTGCCAGGTACAGGCCACTGTCCGCCAGTGACACGTTACGGATCTGCAAGCTGCCGCTGGACTCCTGAAGGGTCACTCTGCCTACCAATGCTGGCAGCAGCGTGAGGGTGGGCTTTCCACGCTCCTTGAGGACCACTGCCTTGCCGTGCAGAGTCCAGATGAGGTAGTCGAATGTGGAGATGTCTGTCACCTCCAGGGGGAATGTGGCCTCCTTGCCCTGGAGCACAGTGATCTCAGTGAGTGAGACCACTACGGCACAGCCCAGAGCTGGAGAAACACACAAGAGGCCATAGGAAGGTGCTTAAAGGCTCTTGGTCCTGGAAATGCAGCCAGCTCTGGGGAGGATTATTGCTGCACAAAGCAGCAGCTCAGGGTAGGAAGGGAAGAGCGCTGCACCCTGTTCAAAGCACAGAGTCTGAGGGTCCAGGGTGGCAACCAGCACAAATGAGGCCCCTGCTAGACATTATATCTATTACGCCATGAACTGGTTAATGGTGCGATACATTTAGACCAGCCATACACGCATGAGATAAAAATGGCTGTCCAGTTACAAAAAGGAGTCAACGGGTTATCCAGTTAACACTGGAAAGTGTGTAACAACTCCACAGCTGGTTTCTAACCAGCTTTCATTTGAACATGTTGCAGCCCTGAGTCTCATGCCCAACTAGGGACAAATTCCTGGGTCTCCGCGCTCCGAGCAAACCTACCCTTATTATGAGATGACGGGAAAGCTCTGCAGCTGGCTCTGGTGTGGGTCCCCAGCTGCTTTTGGGACTTTGGTTTGGGCCCAGGCCCAGCAACCTGCTCTGCCCTGCCCCTATTACTAGTGGCAGCGTGGCCATAGCTCCATGAGCCTGCACCCCCGTTGTGCTCAGTGCCACAAAGACACCTTGCAGTGCATTGCTTTGCACTCGGCCTGCTGGCCCCGGTGCTAGACGGTGGGCCTGTGCAAGTTGGCAGTGATCCGATCCGGCTTCGGATCTAGTCGCTTCGGATGTTGGCGATGCGATCTGATCCAGATCTCAGGACCGGGTTTCTGCCGTGATCCAGCTGAAGCTTCGGAGCCGCCTCGGAGATCCGGCCACAGGGTAGAATGGGGAATCAATAAATAGCTATAACTTTGTTGTTTTTTGTCTGATTTGGAT